AGCTCAGGGTTGATCTTCCTCACACACACACACAAAAAATGTAAAACTGAAATAAAACAACTTTTTATATGGAAATGTTCAAATATAAATAAAAACAGAGAGAAATGTTCAGTGAACCCCCATGTACCCATCTCACCTAATTTCAACAATTGTTAGTAGTTTGACATTCTTTTTTCATCTGTACCTTGTTCCCTTGTTTCTGCTATTTCATATTGAATCTTGATCATCATCATATTTCTTCTCTAAATACTTCATTTTATATTGCAAACTGATATATATAAATTTTCGTGATACCATTATTTCACTTAAAATTGGCAATAATTCCTTAATATCATCTACTACCCTGTTTATGTTTGGTCCCTGATTATCTGAAATATGTCTTTTTCAAATTGGTTGTGTGAATCAGGACCAAACAAGGTGCACACATTGCATTTGATCGATAGGACCATTAAGTCACTCTTGATCTATAATCATTTCTTTTCTCTTGTTTCTCCATGCCAATAATTTGTTGAAGAAACTGGTAATTTGTCATAGTATTTCTTCTGGTCCAGATTTACCTGATTGTATCGTCATATCATTTAATATGTTCTTTATCCAGTCTATTTCTTATGAGCTAGTATTTAAATATTGCAGATTTAGTATATTCAGGATTTTTATTTTTCTGGTGGCAAGACTATTTGTTAGGAGGAGTTGTTTACTTCCCATTGCATCACATAATGTCTTTGAGGCTCACTTTTACTGATGCTATGATTGATCATTGGGTTTAGAAGTTGTCATCTTGATCCATTCATCGTAAAGTCCCCCTTCAAATTTTTTTTAACAGACGTTTTTTTTTAGAGCAGTTTTAGGTTCATAGCAAAATTAAGAGGAAGGTATAGAGATTTCCCATTTATTCCCTGCCCCCAACTGGCATAGCCATCACCCATCTGGTGAAGGATGTTGCTTCCCCATAGCAACACCTTGCATCAGAGTAGTACATTTATTACAATTGATGAACCTACATTGACACATCATAGTCACCCAAAGTCCATAGTTTACATTAGGGTTCACTCTTAATGTTGTACCTTCTCTGGGTTTGGACAAATGTATAATGACATGTATCCATCACTGCGGTATCATACATAGTATTTTTCACTGCTCTAAAAAGTCTCTGTGTTCCACCTGTTCATCCCTCCCCCCCTCCCTTCCAACCCCTGGCAATCACTGATATTTTTACTGTCTCCATAGTTTTCCTTTTCCAGAATGTTAAATAATGGGAATCACATAGTATGTAACCTTTTCAGATTGGCTTCTGTCACTTAGTAATATGCATTAAAGTTTCCTCCATGCTCATTTCTTTTTCACACTGTGTTATATTCCACTGTTTATGTAAACCATAGTTTCTTTGTCCATTCACCTGCTGAAGGACATCTTGGTTGCTTCTAAGTTTTGGCAATTATGAATAAAGCTGCTATAAACATTCATGTGCAGGTTTTTGTGTGGACATAAATTTTCATCCCCTTTGAGTAAGTACCAGGGAGGGGGATTGCTAGACCATATGGTAAGAGTATGTCTAGTTTTGTAGGAAACTACCAAACTGTCTTCCAAAGTGGCTGTACCATTTTGCATTCCCGCCAGCAATGAATGAGAGTTTGTGTCACTCCACATCCTCACCAGCATTTGGTTTTGTCAGTGTTCTGGATTTGGCCATTCTAATAGGTGTGTAGTGGTATGTCATTTTAATTTATATTTCCCTGATGACATATGATGTGGAGCATCTTTTCATGTGCTTATTTGCCATCTGTATATCTTCTTTAAGGTGTCTGTTCAGGTCTTTGGCCCATTTTTTCATTGGGGTATTTGTTTTCTTTTTGTTGAGTTTTAAGAGTTCTTTGTATATTTTGGATAATAGTCCTTTATCAGATGTGTCTTTTGCAAATGTTTTCTCCCAGTCTTTGTCTTGTCTTCGCATTCTCTTGGCAGTGTTATTCACGTAGCAGAAGTTTTCATTTTAATGAAGTCCAGCTTATCAATTACTTCTTCATGCATCATGTCTTTGATGTTGAATCTCCCTTCAGCATTTTACTGAATGGTTTTAGCAGTCATTGTTGAGTATTACCTACATCCTCTTATTTCATTAGAGTTGCAAAATAGTCATCTTCTAATTCTATCATTCCTTCTGTATTTCTTATCTAGAATTCTATAAGGAAGAATATTCTTTTGTCAATTCTTTGGTTACCTTGAAATTCAATTTTTACAGGAAAGGAAGGGTAAATGCTTGTTTCTTTCTTTGTATTCAATTTATCAGTTTTCAGAATAATGAGTTAGTGCCCTAGCAGCCTACAAATGTGATTAAGTTCTAAAGAACCATTATGAACTCATGGAGCCTATTTTTATTTGATGTGTTTAATCCATTTCAGTCATTGTTTATAGTGGTCAGATCACTTCATTTTTTGTTTTTTGTTTTTTTTTTTTGGCTGAGGAATATTTGCTCTGAGCTAACATCTGTTGCCAGTCTTCCTCTATTTTGTATGTGGGTCACTGCCACAGCATGGCTGACGAGTGGTGTAGGTTCATGCCCGGGAACTGAACCCAGGCTGCCGAAGCAAAGCGGGCTGAACTTAACCACTAAGCCACCAGGCTGGCCCCCCAGATCACTTCATTTTTGACTGGTGGGATCCCCTAAAGTTTGCTACTGTGTCCTCATGACCTGTGCTAGTGTTTTCTTTTTTAACTTCATTGCTTTCTAGCTCAAGATTTCTCAGGCTCATATTATACTTTGTGCTCCAGACTTTATTTCTTTTGGAAACCAGATCAGTGGGAAATGGAATTTAGAGACCATGATCTGGATGCTGGGAAGCTTACTGTTTCTGGGTCGTTATGGCTCCTAGATCTTTGAATATTTCTTTTACGAAGGCACAGGATTTAGCATATTTTTCAGTGTATGATCATACTTTTGTCCTTAAGATTGTACATCTTTTTGGTACAGGGAGAAACAGCATTAACACAATTCATTTAAGTTTATCAGTCATTCGGTGGGGATATACTTTTTCCTAAGCACCATAGTAGACACTGGTATACAAATATAAGATTGTGACTCTTGCTTCCAGGACAGCACTGGGACTTGTTCTTAGCATCTAATGAGATGATATGTAAGAAAATAAATTTTAATTTAATGAGTCACACAAGAAATGGATAAAATGCAGAGGTGGCACAAAAAAGAATTGGTTAATTCTGTTGGCAGAAGATGTTCAAGGAATGCTTCACATTCCCAGAGAAAGTAACATCTGTACTGGGTATTAAAGGAAAGATATGAGTTCAGCTGGGTGTGAAAAGATGAGGGAAAGGGATTTTCAGACAGAGGAAAAAGAGTATGAAAAGATATGAAGCAAGAAAACAGGAACAACAAGTAGGTTGCTATTTGGGGCACCAAGATGCAAGTGGAGAATGACAATAGTTGAGGCAAAATCAAGAAGGTCTTATAAGCCATGACAAAGAGCCTAGACTTCTCCTAGAGGCAAAAGGGATACACTAAAGAATTTTAAGTAGAAATATGAAATGCCCTAATTTGCTCCTCAGAATAATCATTCTAGTAACAATAAGGGAAATGGATTGGGAGTGGAAATGGCAAGACAGGGAGACTCAGTAGTAGAGTGGATAAGTTTACTTTTGAGTTTACAAACCTGTATCTATAACAGTGCTTGGCATATAGTGGGCACTCAATAATATTTGGTGAATGAATGAACAAAAGATAGTTGTATGAATCAAAAGAAGTTAATAAGTCTGAAGAAAAGCCATATAGAAATAGAGCCTACGTTTTTGATACTACTGCTTGATTCATCTGCTTGCTTACTTAGTATCTTACCATAAGATTTTCACAAACTAATAAGTAAAACAACCCACAAGAAAAATAGTGAAAGAATATGAAGGGCAGGCTCACAAAAGGGGAAATTTGAGTGATAACTATACATATGAAAATATGCTCAACTTTTCCAGTAACGAAGGAAATGCAAGTATCGTTTAAATCCCATGAGATGGGAAAACATTTAAAAGTCTTAACAAAACCCAGTCTTGACCAAGATGTTAAATCGCTGGGTTTTTTACATGCTGCTAGTGGGAGTACAAATTGGTGAAACCACTCTAGAAAGCAGCTATATTCAGTAAGTCAGAAGATGCACAAACCACTTGACTTAGCATTTCCATTTCAGATATAAATCCTAGGGAAATGTTCACATCTGTTCAAAGAGACATGTTCAACAATGTCAATTGCAGCACTGTTGATTGTACCAAAAATTTGGAAATAATATAAATGTGCACCTTCAGGAGAATGGATTTTATATTTGTATAACAGCATAACATTCTACAGTGAAAATGAACAAACCAAAGCTATACAAATAGGACTTGAATAAAGTCGCAAACAAAATATTGTTTAATATAGTTTAATGTTACTGAAACAAAGTTTTAAGTATGCAAAATAATATTATTACATGTATATGGTAATAGATAAAAATACCAAATTTAACAGCCTGGTTATCTCTGAGAAGGAAAAGCAAAACGGGATTAGGGAAGATTACACAGTGGGCTTCAGCCTATTTTTCTTTAAAAAAAGTTAGAACCAGCCCCAGTAGCCTAGTGGTTAAGTTCACTGTGCTCTGCTTCCGTGGCCTGGGTTCGGTTCCCAGGTGTGGACCTACACCACTTGTCTGTCACTGGCCATGCTGTGGTGGCAGCTCACATACAAAAAGAGGAAGATTGGCAGCAGATGTTAGCTCAGGGCGAATCTCCCCAGCAAAAAAATAAAAATAAAAAAAAGTTAGAAGCGGATATAGCAAAATTAAAATTTAGAAAAACTAGGTGATGTGTAGACAGGTGTTTGTTGTTTTTTATTCTTTCTTGTATATTCGAAAGGTTTTTAATGGAAAGAAATCTTATGAGAGTAGAGAATTTCAGAATTATCCTGGTTCTCGAAGTAAAATATTTTCCTAGCATCTAAATACTTGTAACAGCTTTTTATTCCTCAGATTTGACTGATGAATTGGCTCAGAAGCTGCTGCATGTTTCAGAAATATCTTCAGCAACAGTGGCCCGTTCATTGCCTGCAGCAGTTCCAGAATCTCCTAGAATTTATCCTGCAGGGATACCCAAAACACCTCGAACACCCAGGTTACAAGATCCAAACAAAACACCAAGATTTTATCCTGTTGTTAAAGAACCAAAAGCCATTGATGTAAAGGTACAAAAAGAACCAGGAATATAAAGCCTGCATTTTGTATCCTTTCACATTACAGAATGAGACTTTAGTTTCTGTCACATTAAAAAATGTATATTTTAGATTGTAAGAGTTCATTAAAAAATTACATTTTACCATAGCGATGTTTTTTCAGGTTAAGGAATAACTTCTTTACAATTGGGTAGTATAATTAAAGTCTATCAGAGGTGTAACAAAAAAATCATACTAAGTTGTATTTCCTTTAATCCTTGTGTTGAAAACTAGCAAAAGGTCTTGTTTGTTAAGTTTTGTAACTGGTATGTGAGATGTTTGAGTTTTGTGACTTCATATGATTTCATAATGTGTCATCCACAGTATGAAAATGTTTGAGTTGGTTTACAGTCAGAGGGTTTTAATTTACTTGTGAAGTTCCCACTACTGAAAGTAATTGCAATGTTTGACTTCTTTTTCTTTAGAGTCCAAGAAAGAGAAAAACAAGACATAGTACAAATCCCCCTCTAGAGTGTCATGTTGGTTGGGTAATGGATTCCAGAGATCATGGGCCAAGAACATCCTCTGTCAGGTACCATATCTGTCAAACTTGCTTTGTTCTTGATTTTAAGTTTGTTCAAAACAGGTACTTAAGTAGATATTTGGTAATATTTAAAAATTAATATGTTAGCAAATTATAGAACAATGAAAATATTAAAAAGAAGCCAGAGAAGGGGAAATAAGTGAGACAGTTTTACAATAAGTACATTGAGGAATAATTCGGTAAAACAATTATTTTTTTCCATTTAAACTAGTTTCCACAAATTTGTACTCTTAGATAAAAAATATTTAGGTCTAGGAAAGTTATTATCTTTGGAAAGATTCCAGATTCTTAGTGGCATAGTAAGTTCTTAGTGAATTAGTGTGCTAAACAATCTATTCAAACTATATAAAGAATATGGAAATAAAACATTATTATTTTGGAATTTTTCCTTTTTGGGGAAATAATTTATATAAGCTGATTATTAGCAGTAAATGGTGTTTCTTTAACTTTAATAAAAGAAAAAGACTTATTTACATCAAAAGAGATGATAGAGCAAACCTTTTGTAGTGCCACTTATATGCAACGTAGTATGGTATGTTTTGTCCTGTAGAGTGGATGCAGAGGTCAGTTACCACTAACTGCTTTGTGTTTTTCTTGAAAATGTATCTTGTGTTTATATAGATATTTTCGGAATAATTATCTGATTGACTTTCCAATTGAAAACTTTAGGAAAAAATATCTTTTGGCTGGTTACTAGAAGGGAAGGATTAATTAGTTTCCTTCAAAGAAAAGCTAAGGAGTTTATCATGATCTGAAAATCTTCAAGTCTATCTTTCCAGTGATATTCATTTGATACTTTCACATTTTGTTCTCATTAGCTATATTGGCCTTAAAACATAAAATGTGTATATGTTACTCTGCACACCGATTGTATACTAATAGTTATTTTTGTGTTCTAAGCGATTTTGAGAGTTTGTTTCCCAGAGAATTTTTTATTGGAGCAGTGCATTTACAGATAATGGTGAAAAATGTTTAGTCAATAACATTTAGTTTAGTTAGAACATTTAATTCTAACATTTAGTTGGGAATATGTTTCTTAAGATTCATATTTTATCACTTAATATTTTTTGTTGTTAATAATACATCTATATAGTGATTTATTCATTCCCAGCCATCACTCCACCTTCCCCCAGAAGTAAAATGTACCAGGAAAACCGGGACTTACAATGTGTTGGGCCATTTGTAGGCACTGAGTATACAGCAGAGAACAAGATAGCTACAGTCCCTACTTTTCTGGGGCTTAATTCAGGGATGACAGACAAGTATTTACAATAATCCCAGTGGTGAATTTTTTTAATAGACTTATTTTTTAGAGCAGTTTTAGGTTCACAGCAAAATTGAGTGAAGGTAGAGAGAGTTCCCTTATACCCCCTGGTTTCCCTCCTGCCACACCACAGCCTTCCCCACTATCAACATTCATATGTTTAGACCATCTACATTAGTTATTGATGTGGTTGGATTTAAATCTACCATCTTATATTCTATTTGTCTTATCTATCCTTTGTTCTTTTTTCTTCCTTTCTTTTGGATCAGTCGAGTTTTTATAATGATTCTGTTTTATCTCAACTATTGACTTCTTAGTTACATCTCTTATCTTTTACTGGTCTTCTAGGGTTTACAATATACATTTTACCTTATAGTCTGCTTTCAAATAATATTGTACCACTACACATATAGTATAAGAACCTTACTACAGTAAAGTTCCATTTCCTCCCATGCTTTGTGCTATGCTTTGTTATTGTTTTTCTTTAGACAATTATCTTTTAAAGTAATTAACATGAGAAAAGAAATTTTAAAAATATTTACTCTTGGGCCGGCCCCGTGGCTTAGCGGTTGAGTGTGTGCCCTCTGCTGCTGGCGGCCCGGGTTCTGATCCTGGGTGCGCACCGATGCACTGCTTCTCCGGCCATGCTGAGGCTGTGTCCCACATACAGCAACTAGAAGGATGTGCAACTGTGACATACAGCTATCTACTGGGGCTTTGGGGGGAAAAAATAAATAAATAAAATTATTAAAAAAAAAAAATACTCTCATTTTTACCATTTGCAGTGCTCTTCGTTTCTTAAACATTTCTTGTTGTATAGGTCTATTGGCGATGAATTCTGTCAGCTTTTGTTTATCAGGAAACGTTTTTTCATTTTGAAAGACATTCTCATTGAGTATAGAATTCTGTGGTATGGATACAGAGATATGTGTATGTATATATGTGTGTGTGTATACACACATACAAAGTATTTATCCTGGTTGTGGTTCTCTGAAATTATTGGATTTATGGTTGTCTTTCGTTCAATTAGGAAAATTTTTATCTCTTCAAATGTATTTTGCCCTTTTTTTTTAGTTTTTTTTCCCCCTTCTTCTGGAATTCCAATTACATGTACATTAGACCATTTGTTAATACCTCACAGCTCTTGGATGATCTTGTTTTCTACTCTTTTTCTCTTTGTAGTTCACGCTGGATGATTTTGATTGACCTGTATTGAAGTTAACTGATTCTTTCCTTAGCTGTGTCCAGTCTGCTGAAAAGCCCATCAAAGGAATCCTTCATTTCTGCTATTGTGCTTTGTATATTTTGCATTTGACTTTTTAAAAATATTTTTTGTTTTTTCTGCTGAAATTCTCTCTGTTCATGCATGTTCTCCTTTTCCATTAAATTCTTCAACATATTAATCATAGTTATTTTACAGTCCATGCTGTGATCATGCCAGTAGGTGGGTCCTCTGTCTCGTTCTGTTTACTGCATTATCTTTTGATTAAGAGTTTTAATTTTTTTAGTGTGTGTCTCATAAATTTTTGTTGAATTGTAGATTCTTGCTCCTAGACTTATTTTATGACTCTCATCTTTCCAAGTTTCAAACTGAGTAAACCCAGATCTATTTCCATTATATTTGTTCCTACTCTTCAGAATGTTGCCAAAGTCAGTCCTAGGCTGATTGATATTAGTATAGATTAATGTACTCTAGTTGTAGTTAGATCCCCGGTGACATCTGCAATTCTTTTACTTTCTCTAATTGACTTCCTCACAGGGGGATGCTCCTGAACTTATCTGTACCCCATATTTCTCAGCAGGTGACTTTGCCTTCTATTGTACTGAGAGGAATTCTTTATCTTTGCTTTCCCTTATCTCTCACTGCCCTTTCTTTTGAAAGCTGTTTTTTTCTGGCTCTTTGTGATAAGTGTGTCAGTAAAGGTAGAGTCATTATACTGAAATTATTTAATGCTAACTAATACTTATTACATTCTTTCAATAAATGCCCCGGGCACTGTGCTAAATGTTTTACATGCATTATTTAAATGTTTGTGTATGTCTTCTTCAGATAGTAAATTCGTGGATGGCAGAACCTCAGTGCCTGACATAGTTGGCACTCAATAATGACCACATGAATGAAACTACCTACCCCATGTGGAGGCTGTTTTGTAGCCTTGTATGAACAAATGGTGTTGAGTATAGAACTACTCTGTATAACTTAATGTCTCTAATTTTTTCCTGGTTTGTGTTGGAGGCGTGAATGCACACTGATTGTTTGGTTTAAATGATTCCTAATGATATGGAGACATTTCAAAGCAGGCTTATCCTTTTCCAAGAGACTCTTAAATTTCAAATGGTTTTGCTTGGTTAGAAAAGTAATATTAGCCTAGGAAATTTACATGTAAAATATTAATTAACCACATAGGAAAAAGAGGTGTCTCTTGGAGTTTGGGGTTTAAGTGTACCACTGCTTACTCATAAGCAAGTTAAACTTTTACTCATTCTTCCACAAATTTTTGTTGAATACCTACTGTATGAAAAGCTCTGTATTTGGTGGAATGGTTTATTAAGATGTGAGAGATATATTTTATGCCTTTAGTGAGATTACAGTCTAGTGTGAGAGAGAATTCTGATTGAGATATAATTCTAGTGTGTGTATGTTCAAACCAGCTATTATGAGAAAGGCAAGAAGATTCATCCCAACTGTGGGGTCTCATGAGAAACTACACTTGGCATGGCCAGTAATATCAGTCTTGATGGATAGGTAAGATTTCAACAGGTCAATAGAGGTAGAGGATTTCATGAGGGAGGAGATAGCAAAGTTACCAGAAATGTGAAAATATGTGGTGGTGTAGCACAAGGCAAATAACTTATTTGTGCCTGAAGCATAAGATATGAGTATACTATTAATAGGATTTTATGAGAAATGATTCTTGTAAAAATTAAGTCAGGGTTTGATCAGGCCCTTGAATGTCCTGCTGAGAAAATTGGGCTTATTCTGTAGGTAATAAATTTTGAACAGCAAAAGTGATATGATTTAGTTAAATGCTTGTCAAACTTTTTGGTCTAAAGACCTCTTTATATTTTCAGAAATTATTGAGGACCTCAAAGAGCTTTTGTTTATAGGAGTTATATAATTTACTGAATTAAAAAGTAAAAGTGAAAAAAATTAAGTATTTGTTCATTTAAAAAGAACGATCATAAACCCATTATGTGTTAACATAAATAACATATTTTTATGAAATGTAATTGTGTTTCACAAAACAAAAGTTTCCTGAATAGAGTGGCATTGTTTTAAAGTTTTGCAAATTTTTTTGTTTGGCTTGATATAACTGGATTCTCTTATTTGCTTCTATATTCAGTCTTCTTGTAATTTGTTGTTTTTGTTGAAGTGGAGGAGTGAAATCCAGGAAAGGGAGAAGTATTTTAATAGCCTTTTCAGATAATTGTAGGTATTCTTTGATATTATACCAAAGCTGAACAAGTGGTGGTTTATTAAAAGTTAGTTGCAATGTGGAATCTGAAACCATATCAATGACCTTTTTATATTCAGTGAATTTTTCATACTCTGTTGCATTAAAAGCCATTGGACTATCTTACACTTTGAATGTATCTTTTGCCTATGCATGCTTTTGTAACATCATGCATTGGTCATTTGGAAAAATTGATTCACTGACTTATGCAGACTTATAAATGTTGACCTATTTCAATATACAGTTTCAAAAAAATCACATTTTAAAAA